TAGAGTTTACTGTCTATGACCTCTGCCTGGAAATAAAGTCAAGGGTTGTTTTGAGTTTTATCTTTGCCTTCTCCCTTAAAGCAACCATTCCTTTGTGTCTGTTACTCTGTGTCTCCTAATTGTTTTGATTTCAGAGACAGGTCAACATTTAAATAAATCAGACTTAAATCTTACCTCTGCTACTTCTTTATAAATATTTTACTTTAGCTAGCCTACTAGTCAAATAGTAATCTAGTAGATTTCCACACTGGTGGTACAGCAGTCAGGCGATACAATAATATTATTATTCCAACTGCACTTCATGTACATATAAAAAAAAGGAAATTTTTGGTTTATTTTACCAAATATAATATTTTAGCTTTTTTGTAGACAATTTTTCTCATTTATGTTTTTCTATTTTTCTTTTTTTCCCCTGTCCATTGCGCTGCTGTAACGACAGAATTTCGCCAGTGTGGGATTAAATAAAATATATGTCTACATCTCTAGTTCTCAGTTCATAGTAAACTTAAAAACATTTAGAACATCAAAGAACTCACGGATATAAAAATAAGACAAGAGTCGACTACTTCGCCATGGTCGTGTCGTTCAGCTGCCCTGCTATTCATAGCTTGTTGCTGTCACCCAGCGGTAGAAAACCTCTTGCAGCCACAATAACATTATTGTTCGCTCTCGATGATCTCACCTCTGTGGTCTGTTCGGGAAGTGAGGCAGTGTACTCCAGTTGTTGTTGTTGTCACAGGGTCGAAGACGGTAATCTGTGGTTACGAACAACCATGGTAAAAAAATAAAAATACAAAATACTAATAATAACAATAACACCCACCCCCATCCTCCCAAAACCATTCACTACAAGTTGAATGAAACGTTTGAGATTTGAATTGTTTCCACGGACAACGCTAGCACCAACAATTTGGTAAAGAAAATATAATAATTTAAAAGTAACGTTAACGATAGTCAAAATGAATCCGTTCATTTTGCCTTTCTCTTGTGCGTTTCACATTGTTCGCAGCCAGCAATAAACAAATTTGAAGCTCTGTGACTATATTGTTCTCACACTACATTTCCCAGAATCCTTCCGCGCTATCTTGTACACGAATGACAGATCGATGGACAAACTAGCTTCGCATTCGCTCCGTTTGGGTGGGACTAACGCCTCTGTCGCTGCACCGCAGGCTTCCGCGCGCACAGACGTTGACCCCGGAGTGTGATCAGATGTGGAGGTAAGGTGAATGTTATTTTGTGGTCGCGGCTTTATTAAGAGCAGTTAAATTGTTTTGTATGTGACACAACGTTTTTTTGCGTGTTACTGTCATGGCGAGTATAGCTTTTAATTGTGAGCACGGTCTTCTAAATCAGTTCGTGAATACTGGTAGAGCGAGTTACTGTTACGGCAATATCCCGACTCGGCTTCAATGGCCGGGTCGAGTGAGTGTTTGTTGGGGATCGATCAGATGTCGGAAGTGTTTGATTAGTTGGTTACACGCCAGCTTGACACGGGCGTGGATAGATAACGTAAAAATACAGGTCGTTGGACGGCGTCTGTGTCCACTGGGATCATTTCAGAAAGTCAGATGACGACGTTTTTAATGTTTGTTGTAATTTAGGTATTTGCCTTGAACAGTTCGTAGTCACTGTGTAGTTAATGTGCATGTTTTTAGAAACCCCTGCATAACCTGCAGTATGGAGCCTGTTGTACTGAACCGGCCCCTGTGGCCTAATTTAAAATGTTATACATTCATTCCGATAGCCATTAAAGATTAATGATTTCAGCCCACAGTTTGGAGACTAATTGCTAGGTTTCTTAAAAAGCACTGATTATCTCTAACATTTTAAGACTGGTCTGCCTTCATTGTTAAGTTTCCTTAATAGAATAAATTGATTTATAATGGATCCCAAGTTGAGCTTTCTCAACTTAATTCTACATTTGAGCAATGGTACAGTTTTGTCAGTAATTACATACAAATGAGGAACAGGATCTTCACTGGAGTGAAAGCTGACATATGGAGGAAAATGTTTCCCTCTGTCTGCAAGATTTTTGCAAGATTTCGGTTCCTCCTTGCGATACTGGCATTAAATAGCATCACAATAAAAGAAGGATGTGGAGCTGAAGGATAATGTTTACCTGTGGGGAAGTTAAGTATGGTTCTGCTGGTGATGACTGCATCCTTATCAATCTGAAAACTGTGGGCTTGCTGCACTACAGCTGTTTGAGGGCTATTATTTACTCATCCCGAAGGTGCTCTTACCTGAGGTAAATGTAATTGAATCCTGCTGACTTGGTGTCTGCGCTTCCTCTGATCACAGCCTGTTTTTACAGTTTTGCTTGCTCTCTCACAATGAGTGCCTGTGCAGAGCCTGGATACCTGCCATTTACCAGATTAAAAGCCCAGTGCTCTCTCTCGCTATCTCTCTGCTGGATGCTGCTGAACTATGCTATAATAATAAAAGCAAGTGTACAGACAGTACAGGGCCAATACAGTAATGCTACACAAAAACAGTGTTCAGTGACAGACAATTCAAGGTAAAACAGTAACCCCTTATGCTCAAAATTGTCATCTTTAGCCTGTAACTATGCTGCTGATTGGTTGTGACTGCATGCAGATGTGATTTCTAAAACACTGAAAGACAACGATTGTGCATTTGAATTCTTTATTGCACATATTTCTAAATGTTGTTGTTCTTTGGGAGGTATTATTTTGATGGCATGTTTTTTGTGTACTCGTCTCTGTGAGGGAAGTGTTATTGCATCTACATTTAAATCCTGATTGCAGTGAGTTCTTCCATAATGATATTGCCCCCATCCATGAGGCAAAATCAGGTCACTAAGACGGTTTGATTGGTGTGAAAATTATGCCTTTGCAGCATGAAGTAATATTTTTAATGCATCACTAAGACATTTTTGTTTTTTTCCTGTCTGCAGCGCTTTTAAGCTAACATCAGCAGTGATAATTGGATAGATAGATAGATAGATAGATAGCCAGTGTGATGAAGTCTACGGTAGACTGGTCAATATTTATGTCCTGTACTCATTTACTTGTTATTCTTTTAGCACTTTAACTTGATTTAGCTTCCATTCATTATTTGATGTGATGATGATATTAATGGTGTTTTATTTCTATTGTTTTTTTTGGGTCTCTTTTACACTTGTTGTGGTTTAAACTAACATCTGTCTGTCTGTCTCACAGGAGCAGATATATCAGCCCTTTTTCAGAAATGGAGACATTCCTAAAGTTTGGCAGGTAGACATCAGTTTTCCCTTCACTCCCACAGCTGCCAGTGCACAGATTTATATTTCTGTTTCAAAAGCTCTGACAGCAAGTTAAGTACAGCTGTCCATTCCTGCCACTCTTCTTCCAACCCGCACGCCTTCAGCATGTATCAAATTGTGCCGGTGGCTCCTGGGGAGCAGCAGATGGCTGGGGGACCCGGAGGCTCTCCACTTAAGAAGAAACTTTCTCATGAAGGTCGGCCACTGGTGATGGCAAGTATGTTGGGCTTTGGGCTGGTGCTAGCTGCTGTGGTCGCCTGGTGCTATTACTCAGTGTCGCTTCTTAAAGCCCAGTTGTTCACGACAGCGTTGTTAGACCTGAACAAGGATGGTTTTATTATTCACAACCAAGCTGGGGCTGTTGTCTTCACTATGACATTCAGGTGGGTTCATATTATTGATTATTTTTAAATTAATAATTGGTAATTTGCTGATTTTTGCCTTTTTTGGACTTGTTGTCTATGCTTTTAATGCTTTTGCATATGCCCTCCATTCAGTCACTATTTAAAAGACTAAAACTAATGCTGAAACTAATAAAAACTAAAGCTAAACATTTTTAAACAATAAAAGATGAATTACAAAATTAGAAATTAGAATTAGAAAATACAAAACTAAAATAACTCTGCTACTTATAAGGGTAATAAATATGACTAGTTATAATTTTATCTTACAGCTGAGATAAGGACCAAAGGAATGTCTGTGCAGTCCAAATCAAGACACTCAACAAACACTTCTCTTGTGAAACTAAGTCCCAGTAAATCGTGGACTCGTTGCCTTTGTAACTTCTTTTGGTCTTGACAGAGTTGTTCTTCTTTGTATCTGCTTTAAGTCTGCCTGTCTGCAGTGTTTGGATGGATGATGAAAAATCAGACGAGACAGACACATGATTACACCCTTAGGGAAGACTGTAATAGATGTGTCCTTTGCCAGCAGAGTTCATACCGACAGAAATAGCCATAGAACAATCACTCCACAGACAACTAGAACAACGGAATAGAACTTACAACATTTTCTTTGTTGTTGCACTACTATTAATTTGTTTTAAAACACAAATAATATCAACTGTGTTTAACTGGCCCCTTTGTTTTCTTTCTTTTAAACACCTAATCTTAGGTCTGGCACTCTGGATCTGGACTCTTGCTCAAAGGAGGGAGATATTTTGAGCTGCACTCAGTCGGATTCTGGCAAGCTCAACTTTTTTATCCAAACAGTTCGTCCAAAGGACACTGTGATCTGTTATCGGGTTCGCTGGGAGGAGCTGCAGAATAAGCACTTGGTAGAGCATGTCATGGCCTATAATGACTCTCATTGGTATGGAGGGGCAGAGACGGCAACACAGTACTGGCCTATCAGATTTCAGGGAGAAGAGGAACCACGACCTTTCATCACAAGTGACGTCTACTCCAATCGAAATGCTTTTGGAGGAATTCTAGAGCGGTACTGGCTGTCATCAAATGCAACTGCCATTAAGATTAATGACTCAGTACCGTTTCATTTGGGCTGGTCAGAGAAGAACAGGACACTGAGGTTCCAGGCCCGGTACCAGGACTCTCCCTTCAGACCACTAGAAAGACAGCAGACCTTTCCTGAACTCAGTTATAGAGTCTGTGTGGGGTCAGATGTCACCTCTATTCACAAGTACATGGTGAGTGTAATTATGCTGGATATTTGACAAATATTTAATAATGTTAAAAGCTGCCAGTGTAGTGGATATATACTCAGATGTACAACAAATGACTGGACCAGAAACACTTGTCCCATCCTGCATATGCATTTTTAATTTAATACTACTGCCATTAATTCTTTGTTCCCCTGCAGAGCAGGTTTAATCTTTAACATTCCAGAAAATATACTTAGGTTGGGGAAATGACTCTTTGATTTACTGTTGAATTTAAGTGTCTGTTCACTTCCAAAGAAATGGAAATCCTCTAATTTTTATTGTAGTTAAATTTTAATGGAGAGAGACAGAATATCAATCAAAACCCCAGAAAAAAGCACATTACATCAAATTTACAGATGAAATTGATTTGCTTGTCATTGAGTGAAAAAGGTATTTGATCTCCTACAACCCAGCCTGAAGTCACAGTTACAGATACTCCTGATCTCAACTCACTATGTGTATAAAGCACACCTGTCCACAGAATCATTTTCTTCTCTTCCAACCTGTCCACCACCATGGGCGAGACCAAAGAGTTCTCAAAGGCTTTCAAAGATTGTTGACCTACAAAAGGCTGGTTACAGCAGGAAGCTTGGGGAGAAGTTTACAACTGTTGGTGCAATTGGAAAAAGTATAAAATGACCATCAGTGTCCTCAGCATGGAGATTTTGCCTCATGGGTGAGGACCATCATAAGAGAGGTGATGGATCACCTCAAAGCTGTGATCTGTCACCACTGGCAACACACTATTGGCGTGGCCAGTCTTAGACTTTAATTCTATTAAAAAATTGTGGAGGGAGCTGAAGCTTTGAGTTGCCAAGTGAAGGCCAAGAAACCTAAAGTATTTAGAGTGTTTCTGTAAAGATGAGTTGGCCAAAATCCCTCCTGAGATGTGTGGAAACCTGGTGAATGATGACATGACAGTGCTTTGGAGGGTTTCTCCTCCAAATACTAAGTCATATTTTGCTTGGGTATCAAGTACTTATTTCACTCAAATCAATTTATAACTTTTATGCAGTGATTTTTTTTCCAGGTTTTTTCTTTGTAAGAGAGCAAACTTATGAATTAATAATGATTTCCCCAATTGTAAATGCTTTCTTAATGAGGATATCAATATTCTAATCTTATAGTGTGTTTGTAAAATCTTTAGAAAAAGTCTAAAAATTGGCTTATGTAGTTGGTTATTTCTTGACACGGAAACCTGAAATTCTCAAGCTGTAAGGGACCAAGCAACCCTTAAGCTAATTTATCTGGTTATTGTAAGGATGCCAGTAGGCATATTTCCTTACCCTTGTTTAATCAAGCACAAAGCCTGTGCAGGCTTGAATGAAAGACAATAACCACACATTTAAAAACATCCCGAATCACTTACTTCATATTCTTTTCTTTTCTTTTTTCCCCCTAATCATTCATGTTCTTTTCTCAGGTGCGCCGGTATTTCACAAAGCCTATCAAAGTCCCATCTGCTGATTTGTTCAAAAAACCAGTGTGGTCCACATGGGCTATCTACAAGACTGCTGTAACTCAGGAGAAGCTGCTGCGCTATGCCGCTGACATCACTAGGCATGGCTTCAACTGCTCCCATCTGGAGCTGGATGACCGCTACACAGCAGATTACGGAGAGTTTGACTTTGATCCGCAGAAGTTCCCCAATGCAAGTGGCATGTTTGACAAACTAAGAGAGAGCGGCTTTCAAGTTACACTCTGGACGCACCCTTTTATCAACTATGACTCCATAAATTTTGGTGCAGCTGTGGAGAAAGATCTATTTGTCCGTGAGCCAGGCGGTGAACTGCCCGCTCTGGTTCGCTGGTGGAACGGGATTGGAGGAATCTTGGACTTCACAAACCCAGACGCTCGTGAATGGTATTCCTCAAACTTGCACATGCTCAAAAGTCGCTATGGGGTGACCTCCTTCAAGTTTGATGCAGGAGAAACGAGCTACCTGCCCCGTCAGTTTAGTACCCTGGGCCCACTGTCAAACCCTTCCACCTTCACCCGCCGCTACACAGAGATGGCTATACCATTTATGGAGCATGCTGAGCTAAGGGTTGGTTACCAGAGTCAGAACATCTCCTGCTTCTTCAGGATCATTGACAGGGACTCGGTGTGGGGTTACGAGCTCGGCCTCAAGTCCATCATCCCTACTGTTCTGACTATAGGCATTTTGGGTTACCAGTTTGTCTTACCTGATATGATAGGAGGAAATGCCTACCCGAACCATACTGCAGGTATGGCATGCATTTTAAGAGCGTTAGCTCTGTTAAAAAAAAAACAGATTTTCTCTGATCTGGTTTTATCTGACAGTCTTTCATCTGTGTTTAAGGTGGGTTAAATGGTCTGCCAGACAGAGAACTGTACATCAGATGGTTGGAGCTGTCTGCCTTTATGCCCGCCATGCAGTTCTCCATACCTCCATGGGCTTATGACAATGAGGTAAGCCAAATAAAGCAAGCGATGAATTTTAGATGTAGAAAAGTATTTTACAGTGTGTAGCCTCTTAGCTTTTCCTGCATTTAAATTTACTAAATTGCGTGTGTGTGTGTACATCACACATACACACTTTTGCAACATTTGTAATAGGGTTTGTAACAATTTTGCAACACATTTTACAGTTGGTGTAAAAATTTCTTGCTCTATCAGTACTATAGTGCAAAATACTAATTACAGATTAAATAATAAACGGGACGCTTAAACTTAACCTTTACATTACCGTGAAGCGCCTGTTTGTTTGCTTGTAGAGAAATGACAGAATAATTGTTGCTTCAAATTCTTTTTGGTGTGTTTGAAAACTACCACAGGAGGGCGCCAAAGTTTAAACCATAAAGGTCTAATCCAGGGGTTTCCAAACTTTTTTCACTGAGGGCCACATACATAAAAATATAGGAGGGGCTGGGCCACTTACTAGAAATTAGGTATATAACCTTAATTTTAGTGTATTCAAGTTAGAAAAATCACTTAAAAGTGGTCGAATATGTTATATTGTTGAATATAATTAAAGACAAAACTGCCTTCATCACAGCTTTCCATAAATGGATCTTTATTGATTTATTCAGAAAAAGCTTTGGTAGCTCATTCTCAGAACAGCAGCCTCAGATTTCTTCTTAGACAGAAGATTTACAGCACAGAGAAAAAACAATAATTAGGCTTAGCAACACACCTATTAACGTTCGTTTGAAACCATTATCAACATTAACAGACTGAACTGGACTTAATAACAGGAGTGCACGAAAAAAATACTGTTGCTGACCCTGCAGGAGAGCTACCCTTTGCTTTAATTTCTGCTCTCGCTCAGCACCAGTGTAGGATGCATAGGCCTGATGTTTGGTTTCATAATGACGTCGTACATTATACTCTTTCATAACTGCCACAGTTTCAGTGCAGATCAAACAGACGCACTTCCCCTTGAATTCTTTGAAGAAATATTCACTCTCCCACCACCATGTCTGAAATTTTCTGCATTCACTTTCTACCTTTCGCTTCTTTGGTTCTGCCATGTTTAGTAACTTGGGCTAAATTTCTTCTGTGATTGTCCTTTTTGGTGGAGCAACTGCCTTGATTAACAGTAGCTCTCCCTGGTGTTAAAACTAAGAAGTGCAATACACTCAAGCAAAAGTTGAAGTGCGGGCCATATTCTATTCTATTTATAAAATTACTTGCGGGCCAATTAAAAATGGATTGTGGGCCGCAGTTGGCCCGCGGGCCAGAGTTTGGACACCCCTGGTCTACACAGACCAGTTATGGGAAATTTAAGGGTATGCATACCAGTTAAATGAAATCTGTTTATCTGTTATAAAAAAGAAAACAAGAATATTTTAGAAATTTGTCAAAAAAAATGTTTAAAACTAGAAATTATACGCACACACACACACACACACACACACACACCCACACACTAATC